AAAACAAATGCACACAGGGGATGCCACTAAGTGGGGTGCAAGGTAGAGATGCCAAAAGCACACTTTACATACATTAGTATTTTTAGTTCTCACCAAAAGGATTCTCTTCATACTGTTTTGAGGTACGCTAGAAAAATAAGACTTTAAAAATTGGATAATTTGAACGTTTGGCAATTATGGAGTAACTGGTGCTAAACTTGCCCTCCTGCTATAAAGAAGTAGAAAACTGGACAAAATACATGAAACAGTTATTTTCAGATAATGCGCAGCAGGCAGTACAAGATCCGTGAGAGAAGGAAACAAACCCGGCAAGCCTTATACTTTCCCCAACTTCTGCCTTAGGGCAGTTTTCTGAAGGTACGAGGAGGGAAAATTCAAACCAAACACTGTAGGTTTGCTGCGTTGAAGAGACAGAGATTAGGATAGAGGGAAGTTTAAGTGGTTGGAATTTATGCATCAGGCCACTGGGGAGAAAAGAGCTACAGAATATTCTCTAGAAATCTACCTAGGGATTCTCGAGGTTTCCGGACTGAACACTCTGTTGAGCCTGAAATTTAGAGACTGAGCAAAGAATAGCTAGTGGGGAGCCAAGCAATTCCCAGAGCTCACACAGGATGGAGAGCCATTTAAGTTCCGACCAGCCACAGTGGACAGATTGCATTGAATGTCCAGGGCATTCAACAGAGACTGCAGAGTGTCAAAAGCCTTATGAGTAGGGCTGGAACAGCTTTTACGGTACAGTGTGAGAGAGACCCAATTTAATAAGCTTCAAACCAAGGCTTAAAAAGAATAAGCTGATCCACAGCGAACTTAAATGCCTACCCCAAAACAAATGGACCTCCTCAACATACAACATTCTAAAGACAACAAAATCCACTCAACATTTGAATGTTCAGTTCAGTCACAAATTACTAGGTATGTGAAGAAGTAGGAAAATGTAACCCATAACCAGAAGAAAAGTCAGTTAAATAGATCCACAATTGACAGAGACAGTGGAATTAAGACTTGTGCTCTGAAACACCAATTATAAATATTTTCAAGGATCAAGAGAATGAACCTAATGAGGAAAGAAATGGTAAATATAAAAAAGAACCAAGTGGAATTTCTGAAGCTTAAGAATATATAGTCTTTACAGCAGATTGGAAACTGCAGAAGAAAAGATCCTAGACTGGGAAGAAATATTTGCAATACCTGTCGAAGGACTTGTACTCAAGGTATATGAAGGCATCTTAAAATGAGTAAGAAAAATCCATTTTAAAAATGGGTAAAATATCTTAATGGACACTTCACAAAAGATACACTAACAAGTACAAGAAAAGAAATGCTTTTCAGAGAAATGCAAATGTAAAGCCACAATGTGATACCAGTAACCTACTAGCATGGCAAAAATTTTAAAAACTGAAAATGCCAAGTTTGAGGAGGAACAGAAACGCTAGAAAAATATGTTACTTTGGGAGTGTAAAATGGTGTAATTTCTTTGGAGAAGTCTAAGGTTAAGCACACACTTGCTACCCAGAAATTCTACCCCTGTGTATTTACTGAAAAGAAATACTATACGTGAATGTTTGTAGTGTTTTATTTGTAGTAGCACAAAATTACGAACAACTCAAATATCCGTCAACAGGTTCGTGGATAAACATTGTAATTCACAGTGGAATTCCACTCAGCAGTAAAAAGGAATAATTAGTCGATGTGTACAACATGGATTAATCATTTAAAAAAAAGTGAACAAAAGCCAGACACAAAATAGTATGTACTGTGCAATCTCATTTATGTAATATTTAGGAACAGGTGAAACTAGTCTCCAGTAGCAAAACAGATCACTAGTTGCCTGGGACTGGGTATAGAGGTGGGAAGTTGACTGGAAAAGGAGGGAACTCGGTGGCATGATAGAAATGCTCTTGATTTCTATCACGATTTTGGTTGGTGGTTACATAGGGGTGCACATTTTTTAAAATGTGTCAAAATTTAAAATGTATGTGTACCTTTTCCTGTATGTAAAGTATACCTCTATAAAATTGATTTTAAAGTGTATACCCTTAACCCATAGCAAAAATAATTATGTGTTTCAAAAGTGGAGTAATTTCAAACATAATGAATTTTTTTTACTGAGAAACTGAGTAATTGAGAGGTCTGCTGAGGTGAAAGGTGACTGCTGATTATAAAAGACCCACACTTAGAGCTGTTCCCTGTTTATGGAGAAGCTCTTTTTAGATTAAAGGTGACATCAGTGATGAGGTTGTTCCCTTGATGTGTGTACTTTATATCAAGCATTGAAGTCTGAGAATGTAGAGGCTGTTCCTTTACTAAAATGGATGCATGGGTATTAGCATGCGTGGGCTTCAGATAAGTAGGAGGTAGCACATTCCATACTTGAACCTACTCTTTCTATTAAATATCAGTTGTTTTAAGGATCGATGAGTTTGTTTGAATTAAATAGACCAGAAAGCCATGTATACATACCGGTTTATGTTACTATTCTTCCCTTTTGTTCCACCTCTTGCAGTCAAGGACTTGGTATGGATAGCCTGGGCCGCACCCTCTAAAGGCTTCTGCTGATTTGTTCTGGGTCTCTCCTAGCAGATTCCTTTCTGTACTTGTTAATTTTTATTACATCAGAGATATTCATCACTTTTTTTAGCTAAACTCAGAAGAAACTTAGGTCATAATTGCCACAAAAGTGATTGTGCTTTACAAGAATTTCTGCTTACTACAGTTAATCACCAAAAAATATATGCGTTCCGCCTTTGGTTTAGGGTCAGTAAAGAATTTAGATCATAACATGATTATTGTCTGTTGGCTTTTTTTGGGATAAAACAGTAGACATACACAAAGGCCAGACAGGTAATGTTATAATCCAGGGCCCCATGTAAGGCAGACTTTATAGGGTTAAGTGTTCCAAATAACCAGGAGTATTTGGTATGGGCAGGTGATGTTGGGGAAAGCTTCATGGAGAAAGGGAGTGTGTACTGGATCAATGGGACAGGCAGAAAAAGATCTTCCTAAATTGTTAGTATGTTTATTAGGCTTTTTTTATCTTTCTTTCTTTTTTCTTGCTTTTACTGGTGTCCCTAACTTTATTATTGTATTTACTCATATATATTACCTGTTTATTTAGAACTCAGGAACACACATATTAAGAAACTATGGAAATTTAAACACAAAAGATGTTCACGTTATAGCTTCTCCCGAAGTAATACTTCAGAATACATTTAATGACTTATTTTAGCTTTTCCAAATGCACTATTCTGTTCTTCCTTTCATTTATGACCTGAGATGAACTCGTTTTTCTACTTGAGCACTGTTAGGCTTCACTGCACATAAATCTACTTATGTAGGTGGGAACTAACCTTGCTACTGGCCCTAGAACCTGTAACTAGTTCTACTAGTAAAAGTTAATGATCTTACAATGTCTGATATTCTCTCAAGAAACTTAGATTCTTTCTCTACAGAGAAATTTAGCATTTAAATGACAATAATTAACTTTTTGCTATTTCTATATAAGACATTCTAAAATAATATAATCTCTGATATAAAGTGAAATTCAAATTTTACATGCTTGTATGTAAATTTATTTTTCCAAAGATAAGTCAGGGTGATGGGGAAAGGGGGAGGAATGAACAGGCAGACCACAGAGGATTTTGGGCACAGTGAAAATACTCTGTATGATCCTATATGGACACATGCCATACATTTGTCAAAACCCATAGAATGTACATCAAGAGTGAACCCTAAGGTAAACTATAGACTTTGGGCGATAATGACTCAATGTAGGTTCACCAAGCGTAACAAATATGCTGCTCTGGGATGTCAATAATGGGGAAGGCCATGCTTGTGTGGGGACAGGAGGTATATGGGAAATCTCTGTACCTCCCTCACAATTGTGCTGTGAACCGAAAACTGCTCTAAAAAAGTCTTTTTAAAAAAGTAACTTTTGACATTTAAAAAAATTAAAATTAGGTTTCTTATTAAACCTAATAGGAATACTGTTCCTCACATAAGGTTCCCAAGTAATTAACCAGTCAAAAGAACAGTAAAAATGAATTCCTTCCCAGTAGGTCATTTTGGCCTGGTCAATATTCAAATTTCTGGGTTAATAAAAACTAAAAAAAACCCTACTTTTTAAAATGCAATTTTAAAGATTGTTGCCGGAGAGTAATTCTTTAAGTTTATATTGAACAGAAAATAGTGGGCAAATGTCTTGTATCACAGAGGGCATTTTTTAAAAGTAATGTGTTCTAATCTAAATATGCTATGATTGTCATTGAGTGAAAATTTAAATTTATGTTATTTACCAGTTAATACACAGGACATATAGAAGATGGGATCTTTTCATTTAGTAGAAGGTCACCATCATTAATTATACAGCTGATGATTTTATAATAGGTCCTTCCAGTTCTTGGTCATTATTGAAGTATAATGCGTTGAAGATATGGCCTGTACAAAGGCAGAACAAGGACCTTAATTAGAATTCTGACAAGCCCACTCCAATAAAATGATGAGATTATTTGTAATTGATGTCACAATCAATTACCATTTAGTTCATCATGAGCATTCTAATAGGTCTGGCCTTGGTACTGGCCCCAGGACGTTGCTGAGTGAGTGGCTGCCCTGCTTATGCTGTTATTGAGACAGGAGGGCACATTTTCAGTCAGCATCCTAATGACCTCTTTTGAAGTCTATTAAATTAATGACCCTGTCACACTGTTTTGATCTCTTATAACCTCAGTTTGGGGTTTGTGTAACAAATGAATGTTTGGGAACCATGTGGCAAAAAAGATAGGTCTTTCTAAAACTTGAAACCTTGATATTACTTACTAATATTTAGTAATTTTATTGTGCAAGAAATAACAGCAAAAATGTAAATCATAGGGTTTCAATGTATTTTATAAAAGAGAACTTTAGGACACTTCTCCCTACCTCCAAAAGGCATGATTTTTATTTATAGTATCGAGATTTCTTTCTTTTTTTAAAGAGGCTCCTTTCTTCTTTAATTCTAGGTGCCAACAGGTCACGTGTGGTTAGAAGGCGATAATCTGCAGAATTCTACAGACTCCAGGTACTACGGACCTGTCCCATATGGACTAATAAGAGGCCGTATCTTCTTTAAGGTACGTTGTTTTCTGCTTAAAACATAGGCTTTCTTTTCTGAGCTGGGAAGTAACGTTTCTTTCAAAATAAACTGTGAAATCTTCAGACTGTCAGTGGACTTCACTGTTACAATGACTACATGTTATGGACATGTTGGCCTTTCTAGCTATAAACATTATGCCTTCTCCCATTGTTTCAGGTAATTGAGAATAATTTCTTGTTTGAATAATAAAGTTCAAACTACCTTAGCTGTAGCGTAAGAATCTTGTTAATTTGAGAACTCCAAAAATTTAATTTTCTCTCATACAACTTTTCCAACCATGTTCATATCCAGGACATATATTAACATGCATCTACACAAGAGCAGTCCAGAGTCCAACTGGCTGTGATGCAGGGATACCCCAGCTAAGTACAGTGACTTTACTGTGCCTGCAGTAAACACATGATTCACAGTAAAGAACACTGGCTTTTCACTTTGTCACAAGTGGTAAGGAGGAAAATAGACATGAATACTTGGGGCTGTTGGATAATTTACAGGAGTTTTTACACTTAAGCAGATGTTATATTCAAGTACTTAGGTTTACAGGTAACTTTGAGAGGAGTCAAAGAACACATGCACAGCCCCGCACACATTTATTTACATACCACATACATATTATTTCTTAAAATGTTTGAATGTTCCAAACTTTAGAGTTTAAATACACAACACACATACAAGTTTACTTTCTACAGTCTTACTTTGATGTAGAAAATTTGTTCCTGACTGAGGAATAAAGAGAAAATGTTTAATTATATGACATAAGGAAAGGGATGGATGGGAAAAAAGGTAATACATCATGTTTAATAATTATCTTCAATCACATTTTGATTTTACAGATTTGGCCTCTGAGTGATTTTGGATTTCTACGTGACAGTCCTAATGGCCACAGATTTTCTGATGATTAGCAAGCACTTATTCTTTTGTTATGATTATTGTCTTCTGTTCAAGTGAATTTATTACTGTCACTGAAACCATGTACTTACTAATAAACTATTTGCTATTCAGTTTTATTTTTCATTGTTAAATGTAAAGAGTAAGGAACACATATTCTGCAAGCTATAGTTGTTCAAAACATGGATAAATAAGTCATCCAAATTTTATGATATAAAAATATTTTTATGGAAAAAACCTAGAACAACCTCACTTTTGAATTTTTGGTTTTATAGGTATAATGAAAAGTAATTTACTCCTCTTGAATATGCCTCATATTTTAGCTACATTTACAAGGTAGAGTAGTAACTATTCTTGTAAGTCCAAACCAACAATAAAAACCAAGAGTCTGACCTCATGAAAAGCTGCTAAGTCACATGCTTGGCTCACTCATTTGCAATTAAGGCTGAAAGTTTCAGTGATCCCATAAAGGATTTCTTAAAATTTTTTAAATGAGTTCTGACTTACTCTGTACATAAAATATTAAATATATAGAAAAATAAAATCTTTACAGTCAACTATAACCAATAACAACATGTTGTAAAAGTGCATTTTGTCATAACAGCAGTGCGATGGTCACCTTTTCTGACTCCAAGGCTATCCTTTTTACTCTTGGCACTTTGCCTTCTTATTACCTCTGAAATAACCTCATGAATACCCATACATACCCAGCCTTCATCATGGGAGAGCTAGGATCACATGTTATTCACAGAGATTCTAACTTAATTCTAATGACCTAAGAATCTGAGATAGTTTCACAAAAGATCTGTAACTTTAGCAGTTACAAATATGTTACTTCAGAAACTTAGTAACTATAGAGGAATATGATGATATTATGATCCAATAAAAGAGGAGACATGCTTGTATGAAGAAAGAAGAATTCTCATTTTGTACCAAGAAGAAAACGAACCAATAAGAAAATTCTCAGATAGGAATTCACTAAATTTATTCAAGTCCTCTTTTTTGTGATCTATAAATATAAAATTTAAATACATATAAATAGTGAAATTAACTTTCTATTAATATGGGTGGCCTTTACTTGTAGTCTTATATTTTCTCTGCAAAAAATAGAGCTGGCAAAAAAGAATCCTACTTTTTTTCTTTTTTATGAGCTTTATACATCTGCTTGATTGGACAAAGTTAGAGTGGACTCTTCTCCACGCGTCTGAATATACTAAGGATTCCACTCTGAACAATTTCAGCTATAATGAAGGAGTTCTATAATGAGTGAACATGTATCACAAGAAATTAGGGTAACTTCTTCTATTTCATCCTTTGAAACACTGTATTTTCCACCACATCGGCAACTCAGAGAAAAAGAATGATCATCTGCAAAGAAAACAAAATAATGCTTTAAACATTTACAAGTAACTACTTTGTTAACACTTTTTAAAAAATTCAGCTGTTCCACAGAAATTGCAAAATAAAAGAAAGCAGCTCAGTCAATGTATATTTAAATGAGAACTTGAAAAAATTCTTATATAGGGGCAATATTTCTAAAAATTATCTGCCAGAATATCTTTATCTACAGAGGTGATGGATTGAAGCTATGAAACAATAGGCCAGAGATCTTGTAGTGGAGAGCAGATGCTCAGAAGTGACAAATGAGGGGATAGAGCTCAGTGGTAGAGCGTATGCTTGGCATGTACGACATCCTGTGTTCAATCCCCAGTGCCGCCATTAAAGGAGAAATTTTTTCTTTAATTAAAATTTTTTTTTAAAAAGTGACCAATGAAATTTACTTGAAGTCTTCCATTTTCTTAAATTCATATAAGTTTTACCTTCTTCTGAATAACAGTTTGTCTAAAATATTACTGTGAAGGAAAAACAGCCCCACCTGTCACATCGGTAAGGAGCAGGCTTTTACCTGCCGTATATACCCTTTTACAGAAAACTGCTGACTTAACAGTTTATCAAGTTCAGTATTTGAATACTCTGTTTTGGTATCACACTATTTCAAGAATGTTGACTTGAATATATAAACATACACTATAGTTTCTGTGGAAGCTGTGTCTGTGTACCTGTTTGTTTGGTGTTTACAAATGATTTAGGAACCAAAAGGACAGTCACTGAAGTGAGATGCCCAAAGGAGGCTATATGGTGCAACATTTCACTTAGTAATGGTGGAAATTTTGTAAGTCTGTCATCTTTGGGAAGCTGAAATGCCTGTGCCTTTTAACTGAAAGAATCTCTGATCACTGGTCATTCCACTTTACTGTCATTGACAAGTGACTGTCAAAGAAAAATAATTACTTATCACATAATTTTACTACTGTCATTAAAAAGATTAGAGGTAAATAAACAGTCTCAAAAGACATGATTTCTTACAATCAAATATCTTCATTCAGTTCTCAAACTTCATTTAATACGTAGATCTCATCATATGTCATGGAAAAAAAGAAGAAAAAGAAACAAAAAAATTCAACTGCCTTGCATTTGTTCTATAATCAAGTTTGGTCTTGGAAAAATTAGCAATTAAATAAGCCAATTTTACATGTTTCTTTTATTAGTAAGGAAAACATTAATTCATTCAACCCAATCCTGCTTTTTTCATTTGTCATCACAATCTTTTTTCTCTACAAAGAAAAATAATTTAATCTTGAATTTTAAAATGCTGGCATTTTCCCTATCTGAGCCAGCATATATATGTAGTAGAGCATGCTTTCAAAGTTAAATTTATTATTGTCTAAAAATGTACATATTCTAAACATTGATTTTCTTAAGCTAAATCTCCCTCTTGTTTTTTTTGCCACCTCAGTGAACACTGAGAAACAATCTGAGATGACATGTGCTTCGTAAATGATGCAGTGGCCACCATGGACTACTATGGAGGTTTGTCATAGATGATTCCAAATGTTAATGCTCACTAAAAACTCACATCTTGTTAAATTTCTTCTTATATTATTCTCCTGTCACTTAAAGTGATATCTTCACAGAAATCATCATTTTAAATATACTGAATGAAGACAGACTATCGAAACTGTATAACAGACTAACTGTAAGGAGAAAGGCCAACTTCAAGCTCGCCATAGTTCTTCAGGTGTGCCCTTTAAGCATAATAAAATGCATCATTTCCTACTGTTCGTGGCTCAAGAAGCTGATAATCTGGCTATGTTTCTCATGTTGGATTTCATCCACTTTTCTCTAGTTCTGGATCTTCACCTCCTAAGGTTATTCTGAAAATGATCATGAAGGAATTACCCAACGATTTTTCACTTGTCCAGCTGATTGCACTTTTTATTTAATTTCATCTGCCAAGACTGCTGTTTTTGATTGCAAGGACCAATTCAAAATTGCAAATTCAACTGCAAAACCTACATGACCTACAATATTTTTTAACGTATTCCTGTAAAAATAATGCCTTCATGAAGCTATTGCTCAGTATTTTCTCTCCTAAGGATGAGGCCTATTTCCATCTTTACAATTATAAAAAATAGACACCTAAAGGACATTTGACACTTCTAAGATTAACTGTAGCTGCTTATAATTGATTCACTGGCTATAGCTGGGATGCTTCTTTATCTTCTTGGCTGACAAGTTTACTTCAGGGAGTCCCAAGGACAATAACATTTATCGTAATTCTTTATTTCATTTTGTTTATTTCCTTCAATATCTTGGCATTTTCATTTTTATCAAAAGGCCCATATATTTTTTGCCTGAACAGATGTCTGAACCACTAATCCATATTCTTAATTTAAAATAAAATATTACATTATTAATTATATTTTAAAAATTTTACTGGAAAAAATTAAAGTTAAAAAACTAGTTTTCACTAATTTTTTTTCAATTTTATTTTTTCAGACCCCTCTCATGAGGCTTGTATTTTATTTATTTTTTTTGTTAATGGAAATACTGCGGATGGAACCCTGGACCTGGTGCATGCTGAACTCGTGCTCTAGGACCAAACTATACCCTCCACCCCCACTATTTTCACATTATCGGAATTACTAGTAAACAAAATGTATTAGTCGTATCAACTACAAGAAGAATAACTAATTTGTCCAATGAGATTAAACACACACATACACTGATTTGATAAGCTGGCAATACTACATTTTCAAAAAATATTACTTAGCTGGGCAGGTCCCCCTGATAAATGACATGTTCTAATATATCCCCTTCACAAACTAGCAGGGAAACCAATGTCACTAGTTTATTCTATTTTCACAGCAGTAGCTCTTCCTGTTTACTCTGATGAAACTATCATCAACCCCTGGGAGCCCCAGGTACACAAAACCTCAAGTTTTCCAATCACTCACTGCAAATAAGGATTTCTACCCCAGAATTTCATTTGGCGGTTTAGGAGCAGAGTGGCTCATAGATAAAAACATGATTCCCCTTTTAAGTCAATATAGCTTGTGACCCAACTTCCTAAGAGCACTTAACAATGTGCAATTAAAAAATAGTCCAGCAAACTTGGTTTCAGAAAGGACAGCTGTTTATCCACACTTATTAATACATTTCTATAAACCTGTAGGGAATTTGTACCCTAGGCCGAATAATAAAGTTAAAGGCTTAAGAGTACATAAAAATTCTAGAAAATAATAAGATTTGCTTCATTTGCTCAGAGAAACATGGAAGTGTGGTATTCATGGCTTCCATTTCGAAAAAGGAACTTAATGAAGTCTAACCAGAGCAATTCACAGAACTAATTAAAAGAATGAAGAAATTAAGTTAGATGTAAGTTTTAAAATTCTACTAATAGGAAAGAGGAAAAGACATGACTTCGTGGTAGGTAAAAAGGGAGTGATTTTTCTTTTCCACCTAAGACACAAAAGGTGGGGTAAGAATCAAGCTCCAAGTAAAAGAGTAAATAATATGTATAACATTAAAAGCCCTGCCCTGACAATTTATGATTCCAGTGAAGAAACAAAAATAAATACAAATTTTAATAGGAATTCATCTCAAATGTCAACATAGGAAGGATGTAAAATTTTTTGACTTTATTTTCTCTATTACACAGATGGAGAGTAAACCAAAACTCGAAGTAGCTTAAAAAAGAAAACCTTATGAAACCTTATGTACCCAACATCTAAATAGAATAGAAAAAATAATTGGAAATGAGTCACATGGGAACATCAATAATTAAGTTTAGAATGAAACAAAAATATTCCAAACAAAAAACCCACATACATATAGTAAGCCAAGCCATTATTTCTTTTTAGGATTTCCAAACATTCTATGAGGCTTTCTTTGATATACAAAGTTCCTAATATTTTTCCTCACTGTAATCAAGAGAGAAAAATGATTCCAACCTTCATTCCAAGACATTTCTTCAAGATATACTTGAGCATCTACTGGTCCCATGTTTCTTAGATCATCTTCTGTAAAATCATAGAATAAGATACAATTTTGACACTTAAATCATAGCCATGAAGAATGCTAAGAAGGCAACTCTAGTCTGGTCTCTACAATTCTGGTTTACTTATTTAAGAACTTAGCTTACAACTTTTGATGGCAGTTTTAATGCTATCCCAACTTGAGCTGACTAAAAAAATCTCCAACATCTTTAACAATCAAAATATATCACATTTTCCACAAATAAGCCACAAGCAAAATTGTGAAATTGATTTTGATGATTCCTTATGATCAACTGTTACAGAGGGATATTTGTGAGATAAATTGTATCTGTATCCAAGGCAGTGTGGAGTCTGTTAAAAATAACTGTATTTGAACCTTAGTTACAAGATTTTACAAGTTTTTTAACCTTATATATATATTTCAGGTTATCTCTTATTTACTTTAGAAGGGCTGTTGTGAACTGAATTATGACCTCCCCACCCCCAATTCTTATGTTGAAGCTCCAGCCCTCAATGTGACTGTATTTGGTGATAAGGCTTTTTAGGAGGTAAAGTTAAATGAAGTCACAAGAGTGGGGTCCTAATCTGATAGAACTAATGGCCTTATGAGAAGATGAGAGAGGTCTCTCTTCACTCATGCACAGAGAAAAGTATCATATGAAGACACAGCAAGAAAGAGGCCGTTTGCAAGCCAGAAAGAGAAATGACCAGGATCCATATCAACTGGCACCTTGAGCTTGGTATTTTCAGCCTCCAGAACTGTGAGAAATACATTTTTGTTGTTTAAGCCACCCAGCCTATGGAATTTTGTTACGGCAGATGGAGCAGACTAATGCAAGCATGTTCTTCCAAACAAATGAGATCAGGCTAAAAGTGCTTTAAAGAATAAAAGCTCTAACTGCATGTAAGGGGCTGTTAAGTCATCTAATTTTTAATTGTTCACAACAGAGTAATGGGTAAATTAAAGGAAGAATTATTTAAAAATATTTCAATAACCATGCAACACAACTGTACTGTAGTAATGTTCCGTTGCTGTTTTCTGGGCCAAAGTTTTCTCTACAGATGGAAACCTGGAATTCCACCTAAATTTAGTAGGAACATGATCTAGGTAGTATAAGCATGTACTCTTGCTTAAACGAATGTACTTAAAGACAAAGCAATTAAGAGAAGCACTTATCTTTGTTTTTAAAGGCATGTTATACTTCCCGCATGCTTGTTCTAGAAATCAATGCTTAAAAGAAACTACTAAATTCTAGCCCCCACCCAATGAAATTTTTCTTTAGCTGTCTCACTAGTCTCTTGTTCACTTGCTGAGAATGCTTCCCTTTGTTCTGTTGCGTGAATGCCTACAATTTAATTATATTTAATAACTGCCTGTTCAAAATATATTGGTGAGTTACACAATTTTAAAATAGATGAAAAGATTATACAATATTTTGAACTCACCATGGTTTTCTATTAGGGTATTTCAAATAATCACTTCATTTCTACTGAGTACCAACAGTCTGTTAAACTGTCCTAAAACCCAAGATAAAGACTTTGCCCAGTGGTCAGAGGTGGTTCTTCCACCTCTGCGTGCCCAGTGAATAGCCCATGCAGAGTGTATCAGTATGAGAAGTAACTTCTGAACAAAACAATTTAATTTCCAAGTATACATGGCTATAGGTTATTGGTTATTCAGTACTCCAAATTAAAAAAAAATTCTACTTAAAAGTCATGTCACAGACGGAGAAAAAAATCTTAACCACATGTTTCAATTTCTTACTTAGAAGGCCCAAGATAGTTTGCTTGAATGTGGAAATGAAACTGTTTTAGATTTGAAGAATGGGGGTAACTGGCACTTAATGGACCCTAGTTAGGGGAGAAACAGGTATAAATAATTTACAATCAGGTTGCCTATACTCCAGGGTATCTTACGGATATCTTAATTTTGAAATCAATGAAAGCAAATCAGACACAGCAGAGGTAATGACAAAATGAATAAAGCTTCTTAATCTAACCTATCCTCGACACCTGTAACAGATAAACTGTACGAAAAGACAACCCATTCATAAATATCCATTATACCATTTTTATTTTAAAATAACTAGTGAGAAATAACTGGCAAACGTAACTGTCAAGCAAGTCCTCTTTGCATTGTTCTGCTCCTCTACTAGGAAACTACTGTTACATCTCACCCAGTTACTATTTCATGTGGAACCCTTTTTATTATTTCACCTTCTCAAAAAAGTGACTTTTACATTTTTATGATTTTTTTCTTATTTCTGTACAGGAACTTTAGAGTAGTTAACTATTTCTTAGTTGAAAGATCAGCTCAGACCATATCTCATTGTAAAAGGGAAAGAAAATAGAACACAAAAATGGTTATTAGTACTTTACCCAAGGTCAGAGTTAAAAGTATACTAAAATATTCTCCTGTTCTGTGGCTGTCTAAACATCTATATATTGGCCTGATTATTCAATAATATGTGTACACAGTTCAAGTTTTATGGGGATTCTGGTTTTAATAGCCAGTATCTGACACAAGAGAGGACACAGGCTTCCCCTGCTATTCAAAAGTAGAGCATTCCTCTGAAACCTTTTGTAAGACAAAATGGGTAAAGTGAAGGAGCAATTACCTCAAGACGCATCTTGCTAATGGATGCATAAATCAAGATAATACGCAGATGCTCACAGACACAGTTCAAAGCTATGGTGACTTGATCCTGAATGCAGTTCCTGGAGAAAGAGGTTGGCGGTGCCACTCTTGCTGCCTGGGGCTCGGGGTGCATGCTGCTCAGGGGCTCACTGCTAAACAAATGCTACACACTAATTTACGCTTTTCATCTTTTTTTTGGTAAAATTGAAAATCCTCTTCAGATTTCTTTCAATTACGCGAAAGCAGGTACTAATGTAGGTATTTCATGAAAGCAAAGTGGTGTAAAGCGATTTTTTGAAAAGTGGGGGATACCTGTACGATTCCCCCCATTATGTGAAATTTAACAGGCAAAACCATCCTGTGATGTTGGGAATGGGGAGTGAGTACTGAAGAGTCACATGGGCCTTCTGGGGTGCTGGTTAGTTCGATGGGTGTGTTTACTGTCCATCAAGCTGTATACTTAGGACTGGTGCATTTCTTTGTATGTATGATATAATTCAATAAAAAGTTCTAAGGGTAGTGTGCTGAAATTCTAATGGATTTATTTTTAAATAGAAATAAGGAAAGAAAAGTTAGGGGAAAGAAATGAAAAGCTTCATAAGAAAGTATGTATTCTTTGAAAGGACAGTAATCTAACAATTTCTGTAAAAGGCCAGGGGTTATTAAATCAGGGGGAAATTGGATCCCTGGAGAACTATATAATGAGCAGAGAGAGCACACACAAGTAAAGGTGACTCTAAATGTGGGGTGGGGGAGGGGCGTTGGGAGGAGACCACAATCTTTTGTTAAGAGGCAGGTGTCCAGGGAATGGGGCAACAGCAACTTCTCCCCTACTATGATTACAAGCAAGAAGTACAAACAAATCAATGTTTTTTTTTCTTTTAAAATAATGATCTCTGCTTGTCCACCATTGTAGTTATAATTAGAAAACTTAATTCCTCCCTAGCCCTTAAAGTAACTGACAGGAACCCTGTAATTAGCTTTGATAATTGTCTACTCATCAGATACTGCATCTACAAAACAGATAAGTCCGTTTTCTTTTGAGTTTTACATATTATAGTTTTGCTTATTACAATGAAATATTTAACAGGTATCTGAAAATGTAAACCCCATCTCAAAGTTCTCCTTAATGTGACACTACAAAAAATGTTGAGAAAACAGAAACTGACTTAGAAAGTGATTTAATTAAAGAAACAACCAAGATTTAAATAGGTAATCTGTCACAGAATGGCAATAAAAAAAAAACAATCAAAAACAAAAAAAACAGCATTTGGAAAGAAAACACATTGCCTGGCATTCGGTGAACTCTATCTTGAGTCCAATGACACTGCATGATTCCTAATTCTTTTGATGCGAATGGGTTCAGCTTTTTCTAAGGTATCTAGGAACATTAAGGTCTGTTCACACCCTGTGCTGCACTCCCAAGCTTAGCCAAATAAGGAGACATGACAAACTTCCAGATTTACTTACATATAGAAAGCAATGTTAAAGAGAGATTCCTGAGGAATATAATGATAAAAATCAAATAATTTATGTGGTTACTTGAAAAAGAATCTTTCAACCTTTAGAAGTATAAGCCCTTCTGACCTTGTGTTCTATTGGATTTGTCTGACAACAAGAAGTGAAAGAATTCTGTGGCTCCATTGTCTCAACAGTGGGATCTAAGAAAACACTGGCAGGACTCATCAGAGAGGTTTATGAGCCTGCAATTCAAAGAGATTAAAAGGAAAATCTACGGAGATTCTTTCACACTGAAGAATAACATTAAATAACTATTAGCAGCTTGGTTCAGTAAAGCTTACTAGAGCTCTCGCTGGGTCATTCACAACTTTCTAAAAGAGGAAAGGTTTTTTTCAGCTCCATTTGGGAATCAATAAATATTTCTTACTTCTTACAAGACAATGGAATTCCAGTCTTTTAAAACTTCCTCCTAATGACAGTAAAAATTTCTAAAACAGCTCTTTGTTTGCTGCCTAAATAATTACACTTCCTAATCCCAGGAAACCTTTTCTAACTATAGCTACAATTCAAATAAATAAATAAAAATAAATAAATAACAGCAACAAAAAGCTACTGAGGAGAGGAATTTAACTTTCTTCTTTATGGATCAGATATCTAAAAGCACAATATTGGCCAAAAGATCAAGTTTATCTGCAACTCTGCCCTTACTAATCACGCTGTAGCAACATTGTGCCACTCAAGTGATCAAGTCCCCAGAATGCTCTAATTTAGCAGTTAGTCAATTATACTTATTTTTATGCCACTTAAAAATACTTTAAGAAGTTTATTTCGAACTTAAAGAAGTCATCTATGTGTGTTAAAAGCAAACAGCAGTATTTTCCTTTAGGTCTAACCTAGTATCTTGTTTTAAAACCAACTAATTTAA